ATTGGATGAGTTATACCTGCTATTTTAAGATGGAATATGTATAATGAGTTGGAGAAATGCAAGAGTAGAAAAAACGAGACTAGTTAGGAGGCTACTGCATTAGTCCAAATGAACAATGATGGTTGCTTAGATTAGAGGAGAAGATGAAAATGGAGAGAAGAATGTGCTTTGGAAGATAGTTTAGGAAATAATTAGTTGGTATTATCTCTTCTCTGATTATGGAGAATTGGTGAGGGAGAGTGGTGACCAGAATATCTTCTAGATTTCTGGCTTGCACATTTGGATGAATTGTTGTTCCATTTGTTGACGTTTGAAACAGTGGCAAAGCACTTGGTTTAGGATAATAAACTACTTTCCTCTTTGCAAAGAACACTGCAGAAATCAGGGGAGAAGTGTAAGAGGAGAGGGGTTTTCTCTTAACAGCAAGGTTAGACATGTCCTCTTGAATTATGACTTTCCAGCAGTATATTGTAATATCTGGAAAGAAAACATTTTCTATGTTTTTTTTAAAGTAAGGGTCAAAGACTCTTGCCAAGAGATATTGTTCATGCTCAAATATGTCATTGATTCTTTTATCTCTCAGTAGGATTTGTGATGTTGCTTCAGCTATAACTACTGAATCCCTGCTGCCTCTCTGTCCTTTGAAATGAGAGGCTCTCAAAAGAAAGCTACAAGCCCTATGAAAAAATTTAAAAAATCAATCAGTGTAACAAAGTATGCCACCTGCACATTATCCAGAGGCAAAATTAAGCAAGACAAAATTCTCCAGTGGACAAAACACATTGTGCAACCCTCCAAAATTTCAACACTACCAGGAGAAGAATGCAAAAATTAATAGGGGTGGGAGAAGACTTGAATGTACTGATTGCTAGGAGTAGGGCAATGTTTACCCCTTTCTGAATATTCAGTGATCAACAAAATCTATACCTTAGTAATGGAAAGATGGTAATTGTTTTCTGGAAGATGAAAATATATAGAAAACTCTCAGGGTTCAGGGAAATACAAATTATAAAAGGCATCAAACCATTTCAAGAACAGCTAATACTTTGTTTCTTGGTAAGAAATAATATTATTCACTTCTTTCCCTTTCTCCTTTTTTCAAAATTAATTCAGTAAATACAGAGTGGGCTACTACTTTGTACTTTGTTATCACTATCTATGGCTTGACACATGGTAAGTTGCATGGTTTGTCTATCTAAAATTATAGCATATGAATCAGTGAAAAAATCTAGAGCTTCATGTCATCAATAAGATCACATAAATAATAATAGAGTCCAAGAATGCACATTTTATTTAGCTAGTCTAGTAGTTTTTTAGGGTACAAAGTACATTTTGTATGAAATCATTATGAAAACACTAAAATCGTGCACATGGGAAGGGGATTCCTCAGTCTGGTCTGAGCCCTTTCACAGTCCGGGAACCTTTGGGGGATGTCTGACTGATAGCTTAGGCCTGCTCCCCGCCTAAGCGGGCAGTTGAACATCCTGAGCACTGCTGCGGAGGTGGGAGCACTCGCCAGCCATGAGCACGGCTTCTGGTTGAGCTGCGCTCCCCCGTGGGAGTGCACTGACCACCAGGGGGTAGCTCCTGCATTGAGCATCTGTGCCTGCTGGTCAGTGCACATTGGTCATTCCACCATTTAGTTGATTTGCATATTAGCCTTTTATTATACAGTATAAGGCAATAATTATTAGGGGCATATCATGGAATTCCAAGTGGGAAAAGATTTCCTTTTTAGTCTATCAGACAGAGTGCAAAACATTTTGGAAATCCTAGACTTTTTACTTAAAGTTTTTTAAAGGAAAAATTCCATAACATTTACTACCACCAATCCTTCCATCAATTATTTGATAGAAAGGACTGTCTATTTATTCATGATAGTTGACCTTCTAGCATTCATTGAAAACTACACATCGAATGGAAGTAAAAAATACAATTCCTGCTAAGCAATCAATTTTGTTTTATAAAAGCCTGGATATCTCAAATGTGTATGGCCTGAGCTATCCAGATCAATATTTCTCATGTGTGAATGCAAACTATTTAACTCTTCCAAATAGTCTTGAATGAGCACTCCATAATAATATCTACAACTCAGATAGCTACAGTACAAAAATAAATTTCCTATTTTTTTTCACATTTACCTAGTGGAACCTTAGGTTTTCTACTTTTTTTCTTTTCCAGATACCTAACATTTTGCAGAGATGAAATAGAGCCATTTACCAAAGAAGCTAACCTGCCACATGCTACCAAATAATACCAAACATGAGAGAAAAGAATGTTCCAGAAATGACAAGTGAAATGAGTTTCTTCAAATAATCAAAATTATTTCCACAGGTAGAGTTACTTGGTCTTTGGTGGGTAATAAGATGAGATTGATAAAGTAGATGAATAGCTATTGGATTCTCAAGCTCCATGAGTAGTGAAAGGTCCTACAGCAAGCTCCTTCTCAAAGAAAAGGCTTGTCATTTTCAAAAATGAAAAAAATCCTCAAGACACCCAACAGGATATAGAAAAATGGTCAATTAAAGATAGATGTACATTGGATAACTATTTTAAAATATTATATACTGAATTAGGGAATAAATTAAATATTGGCTTTGTAATTTTGGTTCACGGACAAATACAATTTCAAATGGTAACTATTCACCCTTAGAAGTAGCCAACATTTTTTCTTTTCACAACTAATCGGCTTGTTCATTTTTCTTTTCTTCTCCACATGAGACCTGTTGCAGAAAAATTATTCTAGGCTATGTCTGTTGTCAAGTGACCTGCTTTCAAATGTGTCCTGCTTTCAGTGCAGTTGAACACTTCTGAAAGAGCACTCATTAAGAAGCAGACAAATTATTAGTAGATCTAAGTGCTTTTACAGATGCCAAAGGTCTGAGAAGGAAAATATTCACAGCTTCAATGTCAGCACAGCTGCAAGGAAGATCTGATTCCTGATTTAGAGTTTGTAGACTCAAGAATTGGAGGTCCTGCCTTCATTGATTTTCTCTGTGAATTTTAATTTTAGTGAAATGGAATCCCAAGAAGAAATAATGGTAAAACTTTCCATTCCTTGGATTTGGAATAAGTATAGCTGCACTTGGCAAAGAAATGCAGAAGTAGGTATAGAAATTAAGAGACTATTCACAGAACAAGAAATATGCATTGTTATTATAGATGAAAATATTTAGTCCTCAATAATGAGCAAAGAGACTTGAATTGAGGTCACAATAATATACCGCGTTTAATATAAAAATGGCAAAAATTTAAAAATATCAACATTCTTTTCTGGCAAATGAGAGTTGAGGGGCACTTTCATAGATTACTTATGGGAATGTCAACTAATACAAAGTTTCTGGGGAAAATGACAAAATTCAGCAAAAGCCTTTATAACACTCAGATTCTTTGATTCCAAAATTTAGCATTAATGAAAGTTTGAAAAGAGGTGATTATTAGATATGCTATTCACCTTATACAAGGACCCACACTTAGCCAACCCACAGAGTGAAGTCACTGTTCTTTGGGGACATCTATATCACATTGCTACTGGGTGTGTGAAAGAGATCAATATATTTGTGATTGCACTTGGATCTTAAGGCATTTTTAGCTTTGAAATATTATTTTAAATATAAAAATAAAATAGAAAAAGCAATGCACATATGATTAATTCTTTAAATCAAAGTCCATTGAAAATTCTTAGATCTGCTTGGTTTTATCTCATGGAAAGCAACTTCATTTAATTGAAGAAATTCTCCAAAGATCAGGTTAGTAAGGCATGCTTGATAACAAGTAAAATAAAAAATAAAAAAATCCTCACAAATAGCATAGGACATATTAGAATAAATTGAGTTCATTTTAATCAAGTAAACAGCCTCTAGAGAATGGAACCTTCTAGGCACTCTTAGAAATGTCAATAATGTAAATTTATAGCAGGAAATGCATCCACATGTTTCCTGGTCTAGCATCTGGGGTTGTTGCAAATGCTCTTCACTGCTTCACTGAACACTTACAATTGAGTGATATTTTGAATCCTGTATGGGTTATCATTTAGCTTCCTATACGAACTGGATTCAAAAGGACAGATCATGAACACAGCTAGAATGGTTGTGCTAGAGATGTCAATAATCTTTTAAAAATACATGATATACATCATAAATCTCACATATGTTTAACTGGGGAAAACAAACAAACAAACAAACAAACAAATCAACCTTTCAAGGCTACAATGTAAAAACTCTTAAGTATAACCCTGCATTCTCACTTCTGACTGAACACTAAATAATAGTGTAGGAGGAATGACATGAGGATAAAAATGTCATGATGAATTGTTACAAGAAATGGTCAAGTAGCCCTGGTAATTAAGTCTGTCATTTTGACATGAAGAAATAATCAGAAGAGGTGCCAGATATCTGAGAAAGACATGTGCTTGTAATTTCAATACAGAGAAATGGTAAAATTGGTTTGATTAAAAGATGACACTTTGCCAAATAAGAACACTTTGCTTTTTTTTTTTTTTTTTTTTGATTGCTGGAACTCCTGTAAACATTTTTGAACGGCAAAATAAAATCTACCCATTAACAGCTCCTTTCAGAGTATTTATACAGCAAAAACATTTAGTAAGAGCTGTAGCTTAGGTCTACCCACACATTGGTGATATGGGGCAGTGTCTTGAGTCCATTGTATCCGACAGATGCAATATCTCAGTTTTGAGCAACTAAATGCAATGTTTCTCCTAAGAGCTGCTGTTACTTTTGATGCCAGATTGTCAGATTTGGAGACTTCCTAGGATAAGGTGACCATAGCAACAAAGCCTGTCTGAGAGTTACATGACCACTTTATCCTGAATTTTCTTTAAAATTTTAAAAGATCTTTTTTTTATCTGGGCTTTTAAAATACGTTGTCTAATTCAATATTTTTCATTTTCTGGATATAAGAACTATTATAAAGGTCAAGTAACTTGCCCAATGCCACACTAATTCCTATAATAGAATTGTAATCTATCCTAAAGTTTGTTAGACATTTACAAAGTCTATATAATTTTCCCTATAGTCTGATGACTCTGTGAGAAGACCTCTGGTCTGGTATCAGTTTTACTGGCTCAACATATGATCATGGGGAAATTGGCCCTTTAATTATTGTCTGCTTGTCTTCCTGTCTACTGATAGTTTTATAGGCCACTTCCTTTTCACCAGAGCCCATTATGTTTATTGATTTGTATTGCTCTCATTTTACTATCACGGTTTTTTCATAAGTACTTTTGGTATCAGAGAGTTTTAACAAGCAGGGCAAGAGGAAAATATTAGAATTTGCCAGCCCCAGACCCTCCTTCTTATCAACCTTGATTGAGTCCATCATCATTATGAGGCCTTTGGAACTTAGGCAGTAAGGTAGAAATGTACAATGTCCTAAACAGATTATTTAATTAATTGCTAATAGTTTCTTACATTATCTGGATTAATTGAAAGTTGAATGCAATAACGATGAGGTCACTGCTTAAAATTGGTGGAATAAATCTCACAAATCAGAATGGGTAAAGTTACCAAACCAAGTAAATAATTTTGTCTATTTTTTCCCATGGAAAGGGCAAATAATGCATGCTGTTTTGTAGAATACTAAGAAACTTTTTTTCATCTCTAAATATAATTTGGATAATATTCAAAAATTCTTAATCCCTATTAGTATTCATATAACTAAGTGACAGCTATAATGAAGCCTGGGCATGTGCCCACAACCTGGGCCTGTGCCCTGACCAGGAATTGAACCGTGACCTTCTGGTTCATAGATCAGTAATCAACCACTGAGCCACGCTGGCCGAGTGAAGTGCATTCATGATAGTGTTGCAGATAATATTAAATGTGGGGCAAGGGAGCAAAATAAATTTGCCAACCATTGTCAGTTGCCACACGAACCTCTACAAGGTTGTTCACATACTTTATATCATTTCAGTACAAAAAATAATCCAAGCATTATGTGTATATTTGTCTCCATTTTGCAGATGAAATAGCTGAGAGGCATAGAGGTTAGCAATGTGCCCAGGATCCCACAGCTAGTCAGGACAGAACTGTCATGAATTAAGAAGCCTTTGCTCTTTCCACTACACAATGCTAAAGCATTTGGGCTCTCCCAGTTGTCCTTGCTTAGCCTTTGTGACTAAAGACACACATTTATTTAACAAATGGGGAAGGCTGCAGTTGTGGCTTACAGCAGAGTGTAGTATTCCCCTATGTGCAAAAACTTGTCATGTCACTCATTAATATCAAGATCCAACCAACGGAATAAACTAACTCAGGTTTAGAATTAGGAAAAAAAGAAGGGCTGCCTAGATACTGGTATAAAATCGGTTGAACATCTAATTTACTCCCTTAACAGATCCTTTGAAGAAAAGAGGTGGCATTAGCAGCCTTTTGACAAAAGAGAAAACTGAACCAAAAAAAATTGAAATGACTTATCTCGCAATCACCCAGAAAGTAGTTACAGAGCTGGGAATTCACCCATGGTCTTTGGACTCTTCTTTTAGCGTATTGACAAGAACATTTCACATCAAACACAAAGCACTATAATATAATAGCACTGGCTGCTTAGGCCAATTGTTTCTTGAAAATAAAATATTATAGAAATATATATTTTAATTATTGTGCATTTGCCAAGTGAGTGCTAGAATTATCTGGATGATCACTTCATAAATTATATTATTCTCAAACCATTGCACTATACATCTGAAACAAATGTAAAATACAAATAAATAAATGAATATTAAAAAGAAAAAAATTAACAAAATTGAAAGTCCTGGGTTAAATTTTATGATACTCATCCAGGTTTTGGAAAGGAACTAACTACAGACATACCTCGGAGATATTGTGGGTTCCATTTCAGAACACAATAAAGTAAGTATCAAAATAAAATGAGCTGCAGTCTTTTTACTTGTGTACGGTCTTTAGTTTGTAAAAATAATGCAACATTTGTGAGGTGAAATTAAAAAAGCACAGTAAAGTGAGTTATGACTGCAGTAAATATGAGCCTTAACTTTAACAAATCAATGCTATTTTTCTACAAATGATTTTACCAACCTGTTTCAAACTGGGGCATTCTGCAGTTTGAAAGAGGCACATTGCCAATAAATATTCTGTTTATGTCAGAGTCCCAAATGTGAATAATAAATAAAATTCGATTGTCCAGATCGAACCACGAGATCAAATCTTATCTACATTTCATTCAAAATAAGAGGTAAAAGGCAATCACAATTCTAATTTTATGCAGTCCAGGTTTTTCCCCTTAAAATTGGGCTTTAACATTTCTGGTTTTCTATAAATGCAGTCAGAAAGAATATCAGTGCTGTCCAGGTCAATCCATGCTGTGGCAAAGGGTAAGAGTTCCTTCTTTTTACAGCCACATAGCATTCCGTTGTGTAGATGTACCTTAGTTTTCTTATTCACTCATCTGCTGATGGGCACTTGGGCTGTTTCCAGATCTTGGCTACCTTTCTATATCTATATCTATATCTATATCTATATCTATATCCTCATGCTGTGGGGACCACCAACCATAACATTATTTTCGTTGCTGTTTCATCACTATATCTATATCATCTATATCTATACCTATATCATCTATATCTATATTATCTATATCATCTATATCTATATCTATATCTATATCATCTATATCTATATCTATATCTATATCTATCTACCTATATCTATATCTATCTATCTATATATCTATCTATATCTATAAAAAAACCTAATATGCAAATAGACTGAATGGAAGAACAACCAAACAAGTGAATAACTTGTTGCTATGACGTGCACTGATCACCAGGGGGTGTGGGCAGAACACGGTGGGCATCAACTGCAGAGGAATGGGGGGGCATCACACTAAGGCTGGGTGCTGGTCGCTGTCATCAAGGTGAGCCTCTGGTGATTACTGAAAATTCTTTGCTCCCACATGCCAAGGTCTGCCGGGCACCCAGTGCCAATGCCAGAACCACAGCTTGTACCTGCTGCCAGTGCCTGGTGCCAGCCCCAATTGCTCAGCACCATCAATGGGTGTGAGCAGCAGCTGCTGGCCCCAATCACCCCTCAGAGCTTCTCCATCTCCCTCTGTTCCTGAGGGGAGATCGGGGCTGGCAGCTGCCTCTAGAACCCGCTGCCAGCGATGGCTCCACTTGCACCCACAGCTGGCACCAGAGCTACCACTCACACCAGTTGCTGGCGCCCTGTACCAGTCCTTATCCCTCAGTGCCTTCAGCCAGTGTGAGCGGTGGCTGTCAGCCCTGATCGCCCCTGAGGGCTTCTTCACCTCTTCCTGCTCCTGATGGGCAAGTGGGGCAGCAGCTGCCGCTTGCACCCACTGCTGGCACTGGGCCTTGGTCACTATGCACCATCAGCTGGTGTGAGCAGGGTTGGCCCCATTAGTGCATGGGAGCAGTGGCAGCGGGAGCGGGGCTTCTGGCAGATAGCGGACCAGCGGCCATGGTGGGAGGGGCCAGGTGGGGGCACAGAGGATGGGCCAAGACCCGCTCCTGTGCCCACCACAGCCTTGTGGCCCACAGTTCCTTTCAAGGTGCACAAATTTGTGCATTTGGCCTCTAGTTGTACATAATGCTATTATAAGCTTAGGGATGTATATATTGTTTCTGATTAGTGTTTCAGTATTCTTAAGGTATATTACCAGAAATGAGATCACTGTGTCAAAAGGCAGTTTTATTTTTAATTTTTAGCAAAATAAGCCAATCAGAGAAAGACAGATACCATATGAACTCATTAATATGTAGAATCTAATGAACAAAATAAATTGAGGGGTTGGGGGTGACCAAATAAAGAATGTGAAGGGATTAACTAAAGAATATGTACTCATACCCCATGGACACAGACAAAAGGACAATAATTTAGTGAAGTCCAAGGGAGGGGTAGAAAGGGGTGGAGATAGGCAAAGAGGGAGGGGAGGGGACACCTGTAATTATGTCAACACTAGAGGCCCAGTGCACAAAAATTTGTGCACTCGGGGGGGTGGGGAATCCCTCAGAACATTCTGCTGTTAGGATCAGTTTGCATATTACCCTTTTATTATATAGGATAGAGGCATAGTGCATGGGTGGGGGCCAGCTGATTTGCCCTGAAGGATGTTCCGGATCAGGGTGGGGCCACCGCTGGGTCCCTGGCCAGCCTGGGTGAGGGGCTGATGGCTCTTTGCTGGCTAGTAAAGTCCCCCCCACCAGTGGGGACCTTCCCCCCCCATCAAGCCCCCCAGGGGGGACCCTCACCCCATGGTAGTGTGGCCAGCCTGGGTGAGGGGCTGAGGGCTATTTTCAGGCTGGTCGTGCCCAGAGGCTGGAAGCTGGTATCTGGGATTTATTTCACTTGTATAATTAAAACTTTGTAGTCTTGAGCGGAGTCCAGGTTCTGGAAGCCTGGGTTTCCCCTGGCAACCGAGGCTCCTAGCCCCTCCTTGAGCAGAGGCCACAGCAGCTGGAAGCAGGTATCTGGGGTTTATTTACCTTCTATAATTGAAACTTTGTAACCTTGAGTGAAGCTGAGGGCCAGCCAGGGTGGTCAGGCGGGAAGCTTAGCTTCCTCCCTCGCCAGGGGCAACCCTCCTATTCTCTCCAGCTCCATGGCCAGGGCAGGCTGAAAGCAGGTATCTGGGGTTTATTTACTTTCTGTAATTGAAACTTTGTTGCTTTGAGTGGAGCTCAGAGCCTGCCACAGCAGGCAGAAAGCTTGGCTTCCTCCATCATTGGGGCAACCAAGCCTCCTGCTCACTCCAGCTCCATGGCTGCCGGCCGCCATCTTGTTTGGGTTAATTTGCATGTAGTCGTTCTGATTGGCTGGTGGGCGTGGCTTAGGGTGTAGCGAAGGTATAATTTGCATGTTTGTCTTTTCTTAGTGTAGATTAAATTGTTTTAATAAGAAAAGAGAATTTGAGTTCAACAACTTAGAGAACACTAAAAAGCTACTATTTATATCAGGATGGAAGGCAGTTTTAATTTGATATGTACACTAATAAAAGAGAAACATGCAAATTGTTGTC